CCTCTCATTTCTTTCTGTCTCCTGTCTCCCGTGAAGTTTCCAGATCTCCCACACACTATATCTGTCATGCATGCTGATATTTCTCAAATATTTATAATGATGACCAGAAAAAAAAAATTTATATTGTAGTTTAGCATCCACACACATACACTGTGTGTACACTCACATAGTTGAAACAAGTTTTCTAAACAGTATTTACACATGCCGTATGCAATTTACTGTCATTTTTCTATTCTATCCTATTATATTTCCTTTAAAAGATGACGTTCATGAGTCCCCACGTTGACTTTCTGTCATGATCCCATTGTTTGAAGTGGCCCAGTTTATCTGATTTTTCCCCTCTTTATATGTTCCACTCCCTCCACTCTGTCCAAAAGAGTCTATCTCTCATATTTATATCAGCATGCAGATGCCGTTCTCTGAATTTTCAGTCATGTGTTTCCAGTTCAAGTCTCTTCTAGTCATGAAGAATTCCCTGCCAGGTTTAGCTCTTAAAAAATTCCCAATCCCTCCAATAGGACATTTCTAAATTGTCCCACACAAGATGACTCATAATCCTCTGCTGGCTTTGTAATGTTTTTATGGTAGCAAATTTGATCTTTTTTAATCTAGTTTCTAAACTCATTAAGAATAGCACCATGTTTCCTATAGCACTTGAAATGGTCAAAACACAGATACCATGTTCTTTTTAATTAATAGAGTAATAAAACTGTAATTAATTCATTTTTCAAACTGCTAAATTTATGTGATGATATGAAAAGAACTTAGTCTCTGAGGCCTATATACAAAACCTAACTCTACTATTTATGAGTTATATGGTCTTGGGCAAAATCCTTAACATCTCTTCTTTAGTTGCAAAATAGGAACACTAGAACCTGCATCATATAATTGCTAAAAGGATGAAACCAAATGGCCTGTAACACACCCTGGCATATATTAGGTTCTTAAGTATGAAGTGTCTGATTTCCTTAAGTACCAAGTTTGACAGTTGATATCTCTTAGATTTCACTTTGACACCTCTTATTTTATTTTTATTGTGAAGATACGTCCTCATTCTTTCAAATGCGTGGTTTGGCTTGTGATTATTTTTCAAAAATTTTTTAGAGCAATTTTTGTGAAACCATGGATAAGTCAAAATTTCATGTTATTTTCAAATGTGAGTTCTGTTGTGGAACCAATGCAGCACAGACAGCTTGAAATATCAGTGAAGTGTTAGGGAAGGATGTGGCTAATGAATGCACAGTACGGCGATGGTTTGAGAAGTTCTGTTCTAGTGATTTTAATCTTGAAAATGAGCCCTATGGGTGGCCTAAGACCAAGGTGGCTAATGATGAGCTGAAAGCTAGAAGGGAAGCAAATCTATCTCAATCCATGTGTGAATTAGCAGCAAGGTTTCACGTTACTATTCCAAGAATGTTGGACCATTTGAAACAAATGGGCCTGGAAAAGAAGCTGGATAGATGGGATCCATGTGAAGTAAACAAGGGTCAGAAGAGAAACCACCTCAAAGTTTGCCTCTCTTTGCTGTCACGACATAAAGGCGAACTATTTCTACACCATATTGTTATATTTGATGAAAAATGGATTCTTTTTGACAATCACAAGCATTCATTGCAATGGTTGGATAAAGATGAAATGCTGAAACACAGTCCAAAACTGAATATCCATCAAAAAAACTAACGGTGCCTGTTTGGTGGGCCAGTGCTGGTATTATCCACTATGGCTTCGTGAAACCTGGTCAATCGATTACAGTGGATGTCTATTGCAACCAATTGTATGAAATGATGAGGATGCTTGTGATTAAGCAGCAGAGGTTAGTAAGTAGAGTCAGGCCAATCCTTCTGCAAGACAATGCTCAACCATATGTTGCATAAACAAGGCTGCTTAAACTGCAGAGGCTGGACTTGGAGACTCTCTGTCATCCACTGTATTCACCAGACTTTGCACCAACTGATGACCACTTCTTCCAGGCTTTGGACCACTTCTTGCAAGGAAGAATATTCAATTCTCAACAAGCTATGGAAAATGCCCTTTGTAATTTCATTGCCACTGGCTCTCCAGTCTTCTTTGCTGTTGGCATAAACAAGCTGCCAGTAGGATGGCAAAACTGCGTTGATAGTTTAGGAACATACTTTGATTAATTGTATTGCTTCTTGTTTGAGATGTAATAAAATACACTTTTCATTCAAAGTTGGACACTTCATATTTAATTACCTTAATCCTTGACACCCAGTGAATGTTTGTTGTTAAATATGCTGTCCCTGGCACATAAACTCTTTATAGTTTTGTTTGGTTTTCTATTTGTTCATAGTATTTTCAAATACAATCATTTCTCCAGTCCTCATTACGTTTTTTCAGATTATGCCAATTACCTGCTAGACCCGTTTTTTAAAAATTTATGTTTGAAATAAAATCTAATCAAGAATAAATGGGAACCCATGCATACCTTTGGGTTCCTGCCTCCCTTTGTAGTACTTAATATATGACTCCAATATTCTAGAGCACAAAGAGATATAAAACCATCCTAACCATCATCTATGTTATATTTACTTTGTAGAAGAGACATTCATCATAAGATTTGCTGCCACAAAGTCTAAAGGTTCATTATACCAAATTAAGTTGGTTAAGAAATGTGTTACTTAAAAATACAAAAAAGTTTCTGAAATAAAAAAGGAAATGTTTTGAACTAACTCCTCATGGAGGGGTGGGATTGATCCTTATCATAACTAGTTTTTTTTTTTTTTTTTTTTTACAAATTATAATGTGCTATTCTTTTTTTTTTAATTTGTGAAGGGAAGGTTTTGTATTTTAAGATAAACTAGGACACTAAGTTTTAGAGGCACATATTGCATCAGATTTTAGAACTAAATTTAAATTCATTTTCAATGTTCTTCACTGTGATATATGCAGATTAAAAGGAAAGTGACACACATAAAATCATGTCTGTTAAGCATTTTAAATTTAAAAAAATAGTTTTTACTCACCAAATCTCCCAAGAGGGATACTTTCTGGCATAAATTATCTAGTATCAGTTAGATGGCATAAGGTAATGGGGACAGTGAAGAGCAAATATGAATATAAATATGACTTTCCTGTTAATATTAGCTGACCTCTACCCTCAAGCCAAATGTAGTAGAAAACATTTCTCATTCCTTTTTCCTTTGGTTTCTTATATATGTGGTGCATGTAATGATGTGATGACAAATTGCTGACATGCTTTCTGATGACACCCAGTCCATATCTTCATTTACTTACCCACTCTTCTCTCCACTTCAGAGGTGTGTCCCCAGCATAGTCAACTTACTTTGTATGTCAAAAACATAACCTCTGTTGGTATCAATTTATTTCATTATAAAATGAATACCATATTATAGATGGATTATATATGCTGTTGGACTATAAATGTATATTATATTAAGAATGGGTGAAAATATATGATCTACAAAAGAATTCTATAATCTATATCAATCAAAAATTAGAAAAAAAATTTTTGTGGAATCAAATAAATGAGTTAATGTTATTCATAGTTTCAGAGTAGATCTGCTCCCCTTATTAATATGGGAAATTTGAAAAATTATATTTTTCTTATATATTTACTACCCTCAGATTATCTAGAAATGTTTGTGTGAAATGAAAATTTAGACCTGGGCCATCCTTGTCCTTAAAAAAATACTTTTATAAAGCTTTAAGTCTTACAAGATTCAATGGTCTGTTACGCTCCTGAAAATATTTCTAGCAAAATTTTTATCTGATATACAAGTCTGGCATTTTTTTCTTCCTAAAATGAACAATGATGGTTAATATGTGAGTCACGAGTACTGAACAAAGCTTTATCTCCGTGAGGTTAAGTTACATATCAATAAAACTTTGATCTTACTCTAGGAAGAGCAGAACAAGAATTTCTAAAATGTCATTCCAATATTTCTTAGTGTTGCAAGTCAAAGGGAAAGCATCTTCTGAACAATCTAATTCTTAATAAAGTTATATCACAAGAAACAAGAAGCCAAAGAATCTTAACAAATTTGTGATTTAAGCTGACATAAATTTTTAAATTTTTTTATTCAAATTGCCTCAAGAAAAGGGTAGGGTCAGTTGCTAGGTTTTTTCTTTAACTTTCTCTCTTCTATAATATATGATTTTATAATGATGTAATTTTGTGTCACTATGTGTGTTTAATTTTATATAGTCGATGACAATAATCATCTTAAACCACCTCTTGGTTGATGGATTTTGAAAATAACTACTTAAATCTTGACTCAGTATTATTCTGTCCATAAAATTCAACTGTCAATAGGTTAGAAAAATGTATCAGTAGATACCGACTAATCACTAATGTATACAGAGCATTCCTTACTCTCCAAGGTCTGAGCATTGCAGAGCAGCACTGGACTATGCAAGTGAGGGCTAACATGATGACTTACCCCAGCCAAAATTCAGCTACCAGCTGCCTTTGTTTCACCACCTGGAATCCTGTTGTTTTCTATTGTGTAGCTGCTTGTCCTTAGGGAGGGAAAAATTAATTCCAAAATTTCTTTATGAAAAATGCAATTAGGATTTTTAAAATTTTATGTGTATGTGTATATAATATATATAAACACACATATAAGTATACACATGCATGTGTGCACGTATGTGTGTGCATGTGTGTGCATACGAGTGCATTTCAAAATGGAAGTTAGCTGGACAAATAGAGTATCAGAACAGTGAGTCACATTTTCAAAATCTGTTAAAATTTGTACCTCATTGTTAGATTTCTCCTTGACCCAGTCTTAACATGTGGATTGACAGTTTCTGAATTGAAAGATTAATAAATTATTTCAAAATTAATGAAAAGTAAAATCAAATTCAAGCACATTGTATAGTGTATTGTAAAAAATAAGAATATTTCCTATGTCCCTTTGAAACCCAGTTCTACACCTCAGCGGTTAACTCCTTTTGACCAACTCCTGGTGAATTCCCCCCATACTAAAAGCTCGAGGGGTACAGTCTGTCGTCATAGATCCAGAGCCTCGCACAGTGCCTGGCAATATATAGTCAGTCCTTTGTGTCCCCAGGTTCTCCATCCATAGATTCAACCAACATGGATTGGAAATACTAAAAAAATAAAATAAAAATAAAAATTAGTACAAATAAAACATACTGTATAACAGCTATTTACATAGCATTTACATTGTATTAGGTTTTATAAGTAATCTAGAGATGATTCAAAGTATACAGGGGACTATGCATAGGTAACATGTAAATACCTTGCCATTTTATATAAGGAACTTGATTATCCATGGATTTCAGTGTCTGCAGAGGTCCTGGAACTAGTCCTTGCACTAGGCATTCATTGAATATATGTTGGGAAAAAAAAGAACAGATGAATGGATGAAAATAATATAAATAGTACAAAGTTACAAGGTTCATAGTATTTGCACTATTGAAAAATCACCTTTCTACTTCATGTCTTATTTATTTTTAAGTTTGCAGAGAGATGTTAGACTTTTAAGTTTTTCAAATACAAATAAGCCACAAACTTGTTTCAGAATCTCCACTTCCTATTAAAATTAACCCTAGAGGTCAATATTTTTAGAGGTTTCTGGTTTTGTTGAACATTTTTTCTTTTTGCATGAGAGCCATCTAGTATTCATCCACTGCATTTCTATACTATAGTTTCTATTTCTATTACTATAGTTCCTATTTTAATTGATTCCTATATGTTTTTAAATACATAGCTTATATAGTAGTCTATATAATAGTCAATACCAGCTAGTTCATCTTGTATTTTTAGTTTAAAAATTAATCTAGTTACTAATACTAAAACCACAAATTCCATTCATACTTCCACTACTGCTAGTGGTGTGAATGCCTCCTGGAATATCATGTTATCATTGCTTGATTAGAACAGCTTTTGTCATCTTGGACTACTAATATTTCTTCCACTGCTGACTGTGGAAGAGAATACCCTAAAGCACAATGCAATTGTAACACTGATTTGCAGAACTTGAGGGCTAGAAGGCCAAATCATTTCCTTTTTATTAACTGTAATGATGGCTAGTGGTAATTTCCTGCTCTCTACCCATGAATTACGGAGATAAGAAAAATCTATGAACTGTAGTAACAATTTATGTCAGCTAAAATTCAAAGCATTTGCTGTTTTCTGGTACTACAGAACAGAGCACATAGTAAACACTCAATAAATTGTGTTTTACAAATGGCATTTTATTATCTTTATCCAAGAGCCCCCCTATTCAGGATGTTGCATGGAGAGACAGAAGTTATTCCCAGAATTGAGTTAACTAAACTTAAAGTTAGTTTAGAATGATTTTTTTTATATCTATATAGTTCTTTGAGGCAGTGAATTAGAAAATTTTATGTTTATGAATTTAGGTATACTTAACTTTCTTCTTATAGACTACCCATTCTTACCTTCATAGAAATAGTATAATTCTAATTTTACTAATGGTGTCAGATATAGTTTTAATTTCAAAATGATGTTAAATTAGTTTGATTTTAAAATATTTTGGAGGAAAATACCTTGATGTTTTTGAGATAATTGGAAACATGTAGGCATGTCATACTGATCAGAGTTAGTGTACAGAAAGTGTCATTGTCCATGGGTCTTGCAAGTAAAAAATGCAAACTCAAGGAAAGAGAGCACCAGTGATCTCAATTGAATCTTCAACAAAACTCCAAGTTTTAGGGAATTCCCCTGTTGCTTTATTACTCTAAATATTGTACTCTGAGTTACATAACAAAGTAAAAACTGTTCTTTGTAGTCACTGAGATTTCAAAGTGGTTCTCTGATTAGAACAAAATATATGCCAGTAATTTTAGCTGCCAAATTGTTGCCCTATGAATAATGGTCTTTGAGAAGTGAAATATTATCTCATGGTACAGTAGAAAGAGTTTAGATTTTTCCACAGGCAAAAATGGATCATTTACAAGCCATGTGATCTTGGGGAGATTACATACTCTAAATGTCACTCTCCTCATCTATAAAACAGTGATCTCCTCTATAAATGGAGAATTAAACCCCATAGTACAATATAATTAAGATATTTCACAGAAGTAGATTAGTAAAAATGCCTGTACATTTATTATAAACACTATTAGTGTGTCAATGGTAGCTGATCCAGAATTATTTTTAAATTACTAATTTTTCCTTTTGTCTATTTCTAAAATTAGTTTAATTAAAATAAATTCCTCATTTATGGAAATTGGTCTAAATTGCAACACATTTTAAATAATTCAACTATTCCTTCCGAAGGAGTCTGTAGAGAAGTTTAGAATATATACTCTATATTTGTAAATAAATTGGCTACCTCACTAGTAATTTTTGAATGGTAAGAATTATTCATATTAGAGTTAGGATAGCATTTGGTTCTCAAAATAGAAATCTTTGAGAAATTAAGAATAAGAAATACAATGAAATAGTAATTTCTATGGGATCATTGAATTTTCTATTTTCAGCGGTGCTTTGTTATTTAAACAAAAGTCATTTTCAGTGAGGATAAGGTCTTCCCTCTTCTGTCTTGGTGACATAGCTAAGTTTTGCTTCTCTTTAAACTGTCAAGTTCTTCCTCTGATTCATTCAGTGGAACTTGAGATATTTTGGAGGCTTAAGAATTTCCCTGATATAATCACCTGTGCCTAGGCCTTGCCAGGTCTCCTACCAAAGGAAAAGTGTTTATGATTAAACGGATAGAATTGGGCTGTCCTTTATGGTGGCCACTTACCCAAAGGTAGCCATGAGACACTTGAAATAAATATCAGAATAGTGTGACTGAAAGAATAAATTTTTGTTTTCTGTTATCCTAATTAAAACAAATTTAAGTTAAAAACATGAAGCAGTGTAAAATATTTTTGATTAAACTATTGTTTTTGTTAGACACTTTAAACTGCTGAAAATTAGGCTTCTGAATGAAGATGCACTTTAAGTATACAATGGGCACTGTATTTCAAAGATTTAGTACAAAACTGTATAATACTTCATTAATAATTTTTTATATTGTTCCATGTTGCAATGCTATTCCTTTTGATATATTGGAGTAAATAAAATATATTGTAATAATTTATTTCATGTTTGTTTTTATTTTTTTGCCATAGCTGCTAGAAAATTAAATTTATACCTGTGGCATACATTTCCATTTTAATGGGAAATGTTCATAGAGAGAGAGGGCTGAAGGAAAATTATTCAGCTCTGAGTTAAGATACCCCACTGAGAATTAATTGCAGGCCTACAGATAAGTCAAGTCAGCCTTAGAATAGGACCTAGGAAAGCGAGAGTAGCTAGTGACAGAAGGGAACAAAAGTTGTCTGCTCCTAAAGATTTTAATACAAAAGCTGCTATAGAGTTTAGTGCTAAAAACTAGTATATAAAACTATCTTTCAGCTGGAGTACTACCAACAGCTTTACCTAATCAATGATAGCTTAGGTTTTCCCAATCTACTTGAGTATTGGGAAACCTTGATGATATTGTCTCTTTCATTTGTTGGAAAAGAAACAAGAAGTGAGAAAGTTGTTAAAATAATAGAGTAGTTCCCAAAGTAGTTCCAGAACCAACAGCAGTAGCATCACAGGCCAAACTTAATACAAATGTGAATTCTGTAGTCCCATCTAGATAAACTGAATCAAAAATTCTGGGGACAGGATTCAGAAACCTGTAGTTTAAGCCCCCTAGGTGATTCTGAAGTACACTAAAGTTTGAGAACCACTGTACTGGAGTATATAACATTCTTGCTAAATGATGAACAAGATTTGCTCTAATTAATAGGCTGAAATTTCAGTAAGTCAACAGGTATTTAGTGAATAACTAACTATAGGGCCATAATGAATTACTGAAGCTGTAAGGAACTCGTTAATGCACAAGCAGGTCTCCCTCTTCCAACAACTTCTTGCATTAAATCATTAGTTCAGAAAAAAAATCCAGATAAGGATTTTCCTTGTTTGGGATTTAATCATTATTAATTTACTTCTTAATGGAGTGTATTGCTTAGCATTCTCAAACAACTTCTGCTTTATTGTGATATAAGAAAGTCTAATCTGCCACTGTGCTTTTACTGTTCAGAATGTGCACGGAATTGCTGAATGAGATAATGTATTAGCTTAAAGGCATCCCACTATGTTTCCTCCATTTGTGATGAAAAATGATTGTGTTGCCTTTTGAGAAATGTCAAATGATTATGTAACATTTTATGGTGCTGAATTATTTTGGATATGACATTCTTGGTAAGGAAAAGAAGTGGTGCTTCAAGAAATTACTTAAGAATCCTACTAATTTTTTGTATTGCAGATTTTGCTTTTGTAAATTAAAAATGAAAATAGGATTGCATTGTTGAAAATTGCTATTCCTGCTGTTAATTTCAGCAGCCTAAATATTAGTTTAAATATTTAAGCTAAGAACAGAAATATTTAAGTTAAAAAATTTTTCATATTTTAAATTCCCACTGAAACCTTTTCTCCTTTATTGTTTATTTTTTTAGAATAGTTTTATTCTACTTTATAAAATAGGTACTTGTTTCAATTTAGTTCCAAATACATAAAACTAATTTTTTTCTTCTTTTAAAATGAATAATCCTTTTCTATATCTTCACATAAATGTCAACAAGGATTTAAAAGAAATAAAACATAAAGTTTCCATGAAAATGTGAAATAAAAAGTCAATATATGCATGTAACTTTGAGTAGATTTTTCCTTTTTTTACAAGAAGATAAAAGCCAGCAAGAGATCTCTGTTAAGGGCTGTCACCTTGAAGTCTATCTTTCCAAGTCTATCTTTCCCTTTTGTGTACCTTGATACACAACAAAAAAATTAAAATAAACAGGACAAGACTATAAGAACACAGGATTACTTTTGGTATTTTAAAGGTAGGATTTCAGCAAAGAGTTTTCAACGCTAGCACACTGGCGTTTACCATTTATGTCAATATTGAACATTATTGTATTTTATAATCTAAAGCACAAGTAATAATAAAAGCCATCAAATATTTTCTCTTCATTAGTGTTAACAAATGGTATTCTTGCTCACGTGCATGACTGATGCCTTCTTAAAACTTAAGTAATTAATGTAGCAATTTGAGCCAATGATGCACTGTTCCATTATGATTGGATAGTAAAGAAATAATATTCTTTACTATGACAAATGAGCTAAACACTTCAAAGGGTACTTAATGGAGTATTTGGAATTAGCACTTGAGGCATGCTGAGGTTAAACTCTTTTAATCAAAATTTTTTAAGATGGAGATAATGGGTGAAAAAACAAACAAATTAATGTCAGTGGCAAGTATGCTCAATAAAAATTTAAAAATACTGACGTTGTACATCACTTTCAGTAAAAGTGACTTGGCAAAAAGCCCTTGAAAAGCTATTTACTTTCCTTTTCTACATTGCGGCACGTGGTCATTTTTCTAAACTAGTTTAAGTTCTCTCACCATCAGTCAGTCCTTCTTTCTGTTTCGGAAGGCTCAGTGGATGCCCTCAGGATCTACCAATGGGACCGCCATTGTTTGTTGTGGTGGCAAGTTGATAATAAATCTATTTTTCTTATAAAATATAATGTATGAATATTTATATTTTCTTGTATTCCTGGGCTTTGAATTGTTCCCCGCCCCCATCCATTCTGAGTAACTATTCGTTGTGTGTGTGTAAGTGTATGAAACAACATCCTTTATATTTATGATGCAAAGCCCCCTCTCTTATACTGACAGAAAAGACAAATGTATAATTGATGATGCCTTGGACTTTCTAAGGCTTTGAAATAAGAACCGGGCACGCAAATTGTTTCGCCAAAAATGAAAATGTCCTTTTGCATGACAGCAGTTTGTCCTGGTGGCACCTGTGTTTTGCTATGATTCGCAAATTGGTTGAAATTTGGCCCTTGATGTCCTTTTAGCCTAAAATATTCTAGTATTAAACAAAAAGCGGAGGTTGATCATTTATATTTTCTTAAATCTGATTTTCAATAAATTCTAATTTTTTGAGCATAAGATATTTTTTGAACAGAACAATTTGATAAAATATGAGGGATTACTTATAACTACAATGACACACAAAGCAGTCTTCTAAAAATTTAAAATGTGACTTATAATGATTGATAATATCAATGTTCACCTCACCTTTAAAGAACATTAATTTATTGATTATTACTTATGCTCCATGTCATTCCATGATGAATATATAATCGCTTTAGCAAAGATGCATGCAATTCAACAGTAAAATATTTTTCCAAAAACTTAAACAGGAAGAAATATAAATTAAATAGAAAATTCAGGGAGAAAAAAATTAAACACAATATATAGACCATTCAGACCCCACAATTGCTATATTTAAGTATTGAATTTGGCTCTGAATTTCTTGACAGCTTAAGGAAAATGTAGAAAGAGCCAGTTAAAAAGGAGAAAACGTCTGTTTCTAAGAGGAAGCAAAGCTTTCCCTAGTACTTAAAAAACAAAAGATATTTCTCAAGTGTGACTTCACACAGAGGGTTTTTGGTGATAGAATTATAATTGGCTCTTTTCAAACAGCAACCCTGGCAAGTGGGGTCATTTCTTATAGAATCCATCAATGAAAACCAACAACAAAGCATTAAAAGTCAACTCACTGTTACATTTTGAAGATGAAACTGAAAATTTTTAGCAAGAACATCTTTCCAAATATCTTCTCCTAGTCCCATTTCTTTTAGTTGTATTTTTGCTGAATTAGAGACAGTTGATTTTTATTTTATTTTATTTTTTTTCAGCACATTACAGGGGGACAGATGATTAGGTTACATATATTGCCATCGCCCCTGCCCGAGTCTGAGCTTCAATATTTTTGTATCTATCCAGTTTGAGATATAGGAATCCTCCAGTGATGGTTAAGGATCAGGTATTTTTTTTTTTTTTAAAGCAAACCAAGAATCTATCAGTATTAATCCCAAATGGCCATTCAGAGTTTGTCTAGGAATGTTGCAAAGTAAGCAATGGATCTAAAATGCATGGTGTGTTAGATGAATCAGGATATCTGGTCTATTGCAACAACTTTGTAATTACTATTTATTTTGTATCTTCCTTATTGAATTGGGAACTCCTTACAGGTGGGACCACTTTTCCTTCATAGTGTAGTGCCTGGTACACATCTCACAACTGATACAGAAAAAAAAATGTAATGTAAAAATTTTGTCATAGCTCTTCTATTAACACCTTCTGTGGAACATTTTTCTATTTCTGAATCTTAAAGAGGACGTAGTTTTATTTTTGAGGCAGGGTCTCACTCTCTCATCCAGGCTGGAGCACATCATCACAGCTCACTGCAACCTCAAACTCCTGGGCTCAAGCTATCCTCCTGTCTCAGCCTCCTGAGTAGCTGGTACTACAGGCTCACACCACCATACCTTGCTAATTTTTAATTTTTTTTTTTTGTACAGGTAGGGTCTAGCTATATTGCCCAGGCTGATTTCAAACTCCTGGCCTCAACTGATCCCCCGGCCTTGACCTGCCAAAGTACTGGAATTATAGCTCTGAGCCACTGTCCTTGGCCAAAAGAAGCATACTTTTAAGGCAATATTTTAAAAAAACATTTTGAAAGATTGATTTATTTATACTGCTTATGTTTTTTATGGCAGTGACAGAATTAAACAAAGATATAAGGCATTAGTATATATTGCTGGCCAATATTTATATATATTTTGATTTAAGCCAAAATTTCACCAATAATGCATTTGAACTAGGTTTGTCACCAATATTCCTGGACTAGGAAAACATGAACATTCTCAGAAAATGAGTCCTTAAGGTTTGTTCAAGATTCCATCATACAATACAGTAAAATGTGTAATGAAGATTTTGAGATATCTGTGTATAATTTTCTAAAATTCATGTGTGTCTCTTAAGAATCCTACCATATTATAATACAGGCCAGAGTTTTGGCAAAATTTTTGTTTAAATTTTTTTTCAAAAGTATTAGCTACAGCAATTTTCTAAGACAGCAAATTCACAAGGAATAAAATTGTAAATTTTAAAAAGTCTTGGGGCCAATTACTTTTATTTTTTTCTTAAAATAGTCTGTTTCTAGGAAAGAGGTTTCCGCTAACGGAAATGGGAAAGGGCTATAAACTATCTATACCTAGATATAGTATCTATCAGACACAGGAGGACATAGCTTTTAACCTTTGTTTTTCATTTACTGAAAGCAGATATATTTATATTTCTTTAAAGATGGCCTGAACTCACATTACAAATACTGTTATTGTTCTTGTCATTATCCACACTTTTCTTAATTTTATCAAGTGTTAAAGAAAGTTCAGAAATAGTCTTTCTTTTAATTTAGAAATGGGCCACTATAAACAGCAAATGCAACAAAGTCAAAATTCCAGCTTCTTAATGTTATGCACTTGATTAATTTGCATGAATTTATGCTGTATTCCTCTAAACTTTGCTGTATTTTCAGAGATGTGACTCTGCCTCTACCTGCAGTTATGAGACCTGGTGTAGTCAGGCCTGCCTAGGGAAGAATGGAGAACTTGCTTCTGGTGCTTAGAGCTCTCCTAAGGGCACCCAGCAGATTAGTGCTGCCCACCATGCTATACATCTATAGCGTTTGAAGATCTGCAGGGACAACCTCATTTCATACCTTTAGCATTTATGTCACAGAGTAGGGGTTTGCAAACCATGGCCCATGAGTCAAAAATAGTCCAACAATTCCTTTATTGTGGTTATACATTGTTTTTAGAATGCTAAATTTGTGTTCTCCGATAGCCTTAGGTCCAACTAGTCCTAACTTCCACATCCAACTAGTCCACTTCCACATCTAGACCATCATACTCATTTATAATAACAACTTGGCCCCTGAATATATGTGACTTTTTCATCCGTATGACAACTCTGGTTTTCTACCAGGTAATGTTAGATTTCCCTGTTCTGATAAGAAATGTTACCATCCTAATAGCTACTAATGAATAGATCAGTTCTCTCAGGTAACATGTTTTTCAACAAGAAACAACAATGCCATAATCCAGAGATGCTAAACAGATTACTGACTCTCATCAAACATTATGAGCTTGAAAGAACACCATTTTGAGAAGATTTCTGATGCCAAACCCAAGTTTGGAGCAAAGGGTTACAGTCATTGCTGGCCACAGCCTATGAGAGATTAGAGTTTGACAAACTTCTGCAGTCCCAATAGATGAGGATTTACCATATTATGCCTCATAACAGAGTGAGTTATGTACTTGCCACATTGCCCCACCATCCTTCAGCTAGATTGTAGCCCTAGGTGGAACTGTATCTTACATATCTGTGTATCCTCATGACACTTATCTCAGAGCTTTACATTTGGAAGGCTACCTATAAAATTGGAATAAAATTAAATATGGTGAAAAGAGATTTTTCTTAGCCTTTCTTGTCCTGTTGCAGTATTACACACAAAAAGATTCAGAATTTAAAATTAAGGCAAGATTAAACAAAAACAGGTTTTTTTTTAAAGACCCAAGTAATGGCTATCAAACAAACATGAACATGGCGTGTTTTATTGAATCTACAGCTCTCTTACAGATATCCTGTAGTTGCTAGTGCACAGGAACTGTGATTTATTAAATGTTTACATATGCACTAAGCTAGGCATAATACAGATGATGTTGTGCATAGCTGCTGTTGCTAAGAAACCACAGATAGTACCTGTCCTCTGAAATATTTTCCTGATAAGAACTGTAAAATAATATATTTTGCATTGTCTAAGACAAAGTGGGCAGTGCAGGACATCAGAACAATTATGTCACCTGGATTACATGGGCAGAGAACATGTAAACTTGCTATTGTTAATGAAGTACTTGAGCCCACTAAGCTTACCTGAGGTAGATGGTTCAGCATCTCACTGGATAGAATCTTACAGTCCTCATAGACACTGATTCCTTCAGTTTCAATGGGAAGTTCTCCTTATAAACAGTGTTGGCTGGCTTGCAGTCGTTTAGGTGCTGGGTTTTGTCCCGGCCCCTTATCTATATTGTCACATTTGATCCTGTCAAGAAACTCTTCGGGTTCAGATTGTTATGCATATTTCACAGATAAGAAAAATAATGTTTAGAAAAACAAAGTAAATTTCCCAATGCCATGCAGCTGTTCAATGGTAGATATGAGATTCAGACCTGGGCTTCTCCAATCCCAGAGCCCTTGCTTTTTTTTAGGGGGTCATTCATGTTATATAACAATGATGTTTCATTTAAGCATGACATAGATACAGACTTATTCTAGAATTTCAACTTTCTTTTATATTTGTTCCTTGGGCCTGGTTTTACTTGTCTTCAGATTTATATTTTAAGGTGGCATCTTTCTCTGTGCTCTTCTTTGTTCACTTATTCTACTCTTTCTCCCTTCACTTCAAAAGAGTAAAAGACATCTGCTTGTGCTTCTGTATCCAGAGAAAGTCCATGATCCTGTGTTGTTAGATTTGCTCATAGGAAGGACAGAGGGTACTTTCCTCTCTAGTTGTAGAAATGGGACCAGTCAGAGCAAGGTGTTCACAATTATCTTAAATTGTTTATTGAATCCTGCATATGTACACTACCATGTTGGGTGTAGCTCAAGATAAGATGAAGAGAAATGGTCTCTGATTTACAGAGAAGGTTATGATGCCTTCTCAATATGACCAGAGGAACCCTCAGTGTCAGAATCTGAATGCAGGTGAGGACTTTCTTCACAGCTTCCTTGACATTTTTCTCATTTGCTGGATTTGGAATTGTAGATTTTCAGAAATAATAATGGTCAGTGAATATTGAAGTGTGAGTTCTGGGAATGGTGCTGAAGAGCTGCTAGGAGCCAAAAAAGGGGTACCCTCAGGACAGACTTTGTGCTACTCCAACCAGAGGAGCTCTATCTGAACTGGCTGTCCCTTAAAAAAGGGGGTATCACTAAAATGAAAAGGAAATTTGACCTTCACCAGTGTAGTCTAGATTCCTCATTTGTTGCTGCCTCCTCCGTCCTTACCCTTCTTTGTACCCTTTCACTATCAAACTCTTCTGAAAGTATAAAGTTTGAAATACTTTTATTATAATTTATCTACTGAATTTGGTAATGATAAGAAGATTTTAACAGCGAGAAATTTCATTTTCTAATTACTGAATCATTTAACAATAACATTAAATTATTGACAATATGCCAGGCAAACCTTAATATATAACTAATTAATGAGTCCCTTTGTATCTATGAAATGAGTTAACTAAGAATATAGATTTTGTGGTGACTTATTCATTGTAATGATATAAAAACTAAAGCAGGTTCTTAATTACTGACCAAATGGCAAGATAGTTAAGCATGCAATGAATAGATAAAAAGAAAGAAATACATAGTGTAATTTCACTAGCTCTGATATGTATTTTACTCAAGGTCATATACCAGAACTTTTAAAATTATTAAAATTGAATGATATCAAGAAATAAAATTAATGTGTTTCTATACATATTAATAAGGTCATTTTTCTATGTTAAATTCTTCTAGGACCTAAACCATATTATAGGTTGAAGTTTGCCCTTTTTGGGAGACATTATCACATATTAATAATAGGAACATATAAATGATACAATAAATATTGGTTTAGTAAGCCTAATTAGCAAGGCAACTTCAAGCAATTCAATCGAGTGAAACCTCTCTGAGACTCTTTTCTCATGTGGGCAATAGGAATAAGCTTAAGAGTATAAGAGTATAACTGCAACACTTAGGTGCACATATAGTAGTAACATACATTGGGTGTTGGGCAGATGGGGGGGAGGAGAGGATGGGTATATTCACACCTAATGGGTGTGGTGCGTACCATCTGGGGTATGGACATGCTTGAAACTCTGACTCAGGTGGGGCAAACGCAATATACGTAACATAAACATTTGTTTCCCTGTAATATGCTGAAATAAAAAAAAAGAACATAGGTATAAGAGAAAAAGAGGAGTAGACACTATAAGGACAGTGATTGTTAAATATTTGCGGAGCTTATTCTGTCAGTCAATGTGTAGGTGAATGTACAGAAGGCATAGCTCTAATAGTTTCTCCAATGTTTTCAGCATCTTTTTGTAACCCAGGACTGAGTGGAGTTGTTTGAGGAGGGAAAAGTAATGCCATCAGTAGCACACCTGTTTCTTATGAGCAAGAACAGAAAGTGTATTGCATGCTCAGATATTAGGTATATGATACATCTGAGTTAGTTCCTGGCACATAGATTATGAAATCCCTTTCCTCCCTTGCTTTCTCTTTCCTTTCCTCCTTCCTTCCCTTCCTCTCTCTCTCTTTCTTTTTATTCCTTCCTTCCTTTTTCTTCTTTCTTTCCTCCATATACTTACCTACCTATTTTTATTTTTTGAGTTTACCACAGAAGTTCTAGTTAAATATGAAGACTAAAATGTAAAGAAAGTTCTGGAAATATTCTTACAAAATTCTGAATGAGAAACAAATAAATTTTATTTATGTATTTCTTTATTTTTCTAGCTTTCTTGAAGAATAATTGACAAATGAATATTGCATATATTTAAGGTGTGCAACATGATGTGTTGATATATATACTCATTGTGAAATGATCACCACAATCAAGATAATTAACATATCTATTATCTCACATAGTAACCTTTGTGCATGTGGTGAGAATATTTGAGATCTACTCTCTTAGTAAATTTCAAGTACACATACAGTATTGTTAACAATAGTACCATGCTGTGTATTAGAACTCCAAAACTTAATCCTCCTGCATAATTGAAACTTTCTACCTTTTGACCAGCATCACCCCATTTGCCCCAACCACTAGCCCCTGGCAACCACCATTCTATTCTCTATTTCTATGAATTTGACTTTTTAGATAGGGATTACTTTGAATCTATAGGTAGTTTTGAGTAGTATGGACATTTTGACAATATTAACTTCTTAGATTCACAAACATGGGATATCTTTCCATTTATCTTTATCATCTTCAGTTTGTTTAATCAGTGCTTTATGTTTTTTAGTATATAAATCTTTCATCCTTTGGTTAAATTTATTCCTAATTATATTTTTTGAAGCTATTGTAAATGAGATTGTTTTCTTAATTTCCTTTTTGGATAGTTTCTTGTTAGTGTATGAAAGAAATGCAACTGATTTTGGTATGTTGACTTTTTTTTATTCTGAGACTTTACTAAATTTGTTTATTAGTTGTAACAGACTTTTGGTGGAGTTTTTAGGGTGTTCTTTACGTAAGATTGTGCATCATCTACAAATAGAGGTGATTTGACTTCTTCCCTTTTGATTTGAATGTATCTTATTTCTTTTTCTTGCCTAATATCTCTGCCTAAGACTTCCAGTACTAATGCTGACTAGACGGGGTGAGAGTGGGCATCTTTGTCTTGTTCCTGGTTTTAGAGAAAAAGCTTTCAACATTTCACCATTGAGTACGATTTAGGTGTGTATTTGTCATATATGGCCTTTGTTATGTTGAGGTACAATCTTTCTCTACTTAATTTGTTGAGAATTCTTATCATGAAAGGATGTTGCATCGTGTCAAAAGCTTTCTGTGCATTATTGAGATGATCATATGATTCTTTTCCTTCATTTTGTTAATATGGCATATCGTATTTTTTGATTTGTGATTTTTTGATTTTGAACCATCCTTGCATCTCAGGATGAATCTCACTTGTCTATGATGTATGATCCTCTTAATGGGCTGCTCAATTTAGTTTGCTAGTATTTTGTTTAGAATTTTTGCACCTGTGTTCATCAGAGGTATTGGTTTATAATTTTGTTTATTAATATGTATAGTGTCCTTGTCTGGCTTTATCAGGGTAGTACTGACCTTGTAAAATGAGTTTGGAAATATTCCTTTTACTTTATTTTTTTTGAAAGAGTCTGAAAGGATTTGTATTAATTCTCTTCCAAATGTGTGTTATAGAATTCACCAGTGAAGCCGTTAATTCCTGGGTTTTTCTTTGATGGAAGATTTTTGGTTACCACTTCAACTTCCTTCCTTTGTTATTGGTCTGTTTAGATTTTCTATTTTTTCACGATTCAATCTTGTTTAATGTATCTTTCTAGAAATTTAGTGTTTCTTCTAAGTTATACAAGTTGTTGGTATATTATTACATGTAATAATCTCCTATGATCCTTTGTATTGCTGTGATATCAGTAGTAATGCCTCCTTTTTCTTTTCTTATTTCATTTATTTGAGTCTTCTTTCTTTTTAAAAAAATTTAATCTAGTTAACTGTTCTTTTAGCCAATTTTAAGTACATAATGTAGTGTTAACAATTGTACTATGCTGTATGTTAGATCTAGATTACATTAAATCTAGTTAGGTTTGTGAATTTCATTTACCTTTTTTTTTTTTTTTTTTTTTTTTGAGACAGAGTCTCGCTTTCTTGCCTAGGCTAGAGTGAGTGCCGTGGCGTCAGCCTAGCTCACAGCAACCTCAAACTCCTGGGCTCAAGCGATCCTCCTGCCTCAGCCTCCCGAGTAGGTGGGACTACAGGCACGCGCCACCATGCCCGGCTGATTTTTATATTATATATATTAGTTGGCCAATTAATTTCTTTCTATTTTTATGGTAGAGACGGGGTCTCGCTCAGGCTGGTTTTGAACTCCTGACCTTGAGCAATCCGCCCGCCTCGGCCTCCCAGAGTGCTAGGATTACAGGCGTGAGCCACCGCGCCCGGCCTCATTTACCTTTTGAAAAACCAACTCCTAGTTTCATTGATTTTTTTATTGTTTTTATAGGCTCTATTTCATTTATTTCTGCTCTAACATTTTTTATTTCATTTCTTCTCTTAATATTAGGCTTATTTCATTCTTTTTCTAGTTCCTTGAGGTGTAAAGTTAGGTTATTTATCTGAGATATTTCTTTTTTCTTAATCTGGATGTTTATCACTATAAACTTCCCTCTCAGAACTGGTTTTGCTACATCTCATAAATTTTGGAATGTTGTATTTCCATTTTTGTTTACCTCAAAATTTTTAAAATTTATCTTGTGATTACTTTTTTGACCCTTTGACTATTCGGAAATGTGTTGTTTAATTTC